GATTATAAATTTAAGAAAACGATAATTGTTCATCTTTCAGCACTTTAAATAGTGTTGAATAATATACATATTTGAAAACTATGGCATTGGCTGCATTGGCGATTGGCCATATCCTTATTCAAAAATTAGTTATCGAGCTAGTTGGCTTCTCTTAGTGACTTTAGTTTAAAATTTACAGACAATCTACTATCTACTACGTACCTTCGCCAAAGAAGACTATATCCGGCTTCATGATGCCATTCTCCACAAGTTGCTTCAGCTGCTCCTCTGTTACAGCTACGGAAGCATCTACGCTGTGCTCCACATTCGGCTGACATTGCGGACACACGGGTATGCGCTGGGCAAATATATCAGCACGTAGTGCATCCGCATTGCACTTGTATTTGCATTTAGTGCACGAGGCTGTCGAAAATGAGCCATGACATTCAATCACCCGCTGAATTCCCGCCACACGCTCCAATGTGTCTATGTTCTGGGTATAGTTACGCAACAGCTTGCCCTTTGTCTCCAGCATCTTGATGAAGCGATGACACGGTGAGGGCTTGAATTCGCCGGGATAAATCTCGCGAGCAAATTTATAGAAGGGTCGCGGATCGCGTTTGAAGTAGTTAATGTCGAACATGGCCTGTGGATCAGGCAAGTCGGGAAAATCATGCGCCAGTCGTGCATATATGCCATTTGTAGAGCGAAAATCTGGTATGCCGCACGAAACGGAGACACCGGCTCCAGTGAGCACAATAATTCGCTCCGACTTGTGCACCAAATCAATGACATCGTCAAAGGTATTAACGTTGCTCAGCTTGGTGCGACGCTTCGGTTCATTCAATAGATGTGCCAGATAGTCCCACAACACCGAGTCATCTGTGTCTGCTGCCAATCCAGTGGCAAAGTGCGGCATTATGCTGGCAATCACCTGACGAGGTACGCGACCAGTGTAAAATTCGCGCTGTAGCCAACGCATTTTCCAATCGCTACGGCTCACTGATGAGCAATCCGAGCTGGAGGTGTCATCATCATCATCGTCATCGCTGTTGGCCCAGCTAAAGAATTATAGATGAATATTGTATAGAAATTTGTATTTTTGGTTTTTATTTACATTTGTTTGCCAATTTATATAAAAGAAATAAACGATATTTGTAATTTAATTAGAATATAAATTTTATTTTAAATTTTTGTTCGTAAAAAAAAAAAACAGAAAAGAGAAAAAAAGAACGAAATTCAAAGACCTAAGTTGGAAAAAAATTCAATTTAGGAAGGATTAGTTTGTTATTCATGAGTTTGTGATTGGTTAATGATGTTATTTTATATGAGCATCATTCAGATGAGCTATTTATACCTTGATTTGTAATCTTCATTTTCATCTTCATCTCCTTCATCATCATCATCTGCCTCGGAGAAGGATCTTTCCAAATTGTTTGTTTGTTGCTGGCTATTTTGCTCCTCATTTGTTAGATTTTCGGCATTACGATTGGCGCCAATTTGATGTTCTCCCATTTGAGGCAATGTTTTTGTTTTGATTTCACTATTTTCTTTTGGTTGCGCTTCGCTTGTTGCTGGCGTCGTTGCTGTTGCTGTCGCTGCTAATGTTGTTGCTGCTGTTGCTGGCTTAGCGTTTGTTGTCACAATTTCAGCGCCAAAATCGAAATTTGCCTGCGTGTGCTCAAAAGTCTGTAGTTCGTTGCGCTCGGTTTGTAATTGAACTTCGTGTACATCTCCAATCTCTTTAAAATTAATGTGTCCTAGTCGAACATCCATGTCCTCGAAATTTTCCATCATTTTTGCCAGGCGCAACACAGTTTTTGTATGTTATGCTTTATCTGCTTCTTACCAAGCACTCACGCACACCACCAGCAAGTAGTTACGATTTCTTCTTTTTACTTTCTCGCGTTCCGTTTTCTCCTCTCTTTCGTTGGTACACACACAAAATTTTTACGTCTCTACTTTGCATCCATTTTGCTTGCGTAAAAATGATGTTTTACGGCGAAAAATCCCACTTTTTTAATTCAAACACTATTTTTTCCGACTTTTAACTTAAAAGAAAAATTTTAAAATATTTAAAAGCGTTTTTTATTAAATTTTTTTCGTAAAATTTGTACGTAATTTCTGGAAAATTTTCCGATGATGTGACGTACAACCGCCTAGTGTGCCCAAAGCAAACGTTGGAATAAATAATTAAATTTCACCACGCCCAACGTGTTATCTACGGAGACGCGCATTGATGACTCATGTTTGTGCTTTTTAGCAGACAGTATACGGTCACACTGCAAATAGTTGGTATTCGCACAAAAAATATGAGCAATAGCTCAGCAAGAAAACATAATAGTAATTGATTCGTAAAATGAATGATGATATTGTGGATTTTAATAGTACAGATATATTTTAAAAATGATTGCAGTACTTTTTTCATTTTTAGGGTGACCATTTTTATGTATTCGAGTACAATCGTGCACTTTACAGCACTAAGCACGTCGTTGTCGCCACAGTCCCTTAATGTATTTATTGCATTCGATTGCTTACATTGAACTCTTGTCATAAAATCTTTATAACATGAGTTATTAAGAGCATAATGCAAAATTAATAGAACAAAAACGTATAGAGGCTGATATTCCTTAAGAGTTCGGTAAGCTGAAGCGTATAACATGCCAGTGGTGCAGCTGTTCACACAGCTGTTTAGAATAGACCGAATTCAAAAATCAAATGAAAACAACAACATAATGAACATCATAACAATTTGAAATGCAAGTCAGTGTGTCACAGTTGTTATAAATTATACATTTTTCTATTGATTACCATGTATGGGCATTGTCTTTGAATATAGGGGCTAGCGCGCAATCGCAATGGACAACCTGAATTTGTATCATATTCTTGGCGTGGCAAAGAATGCGACCGCAGATGATATTAAAAAGGTTCTTGGTTGTCTTTCTCGTATTCAATTTACTGATACCTAATCAACCCCGTGCCCAACATAGAACTATCGCAAATTGGCCAAAGAATTCCATCCGGACAAGAATCCCAATACGGCTGATAAATTTAAGGAAATATCATTCGCCTATGAAGTGCTTTCCGATCCGGCGAAACGTCGCATTTACGATCGCTATGGCATCAGAGGTCTGCAGGAAGGCGCCGAAAATGGGATGGGTACATCGGAGTTTTTCACACAATGGTTTGGTGGCATAAACGATGGTAAAGTTTTGATCAAATTGGAGCTGACGCTGGAGGAGATATACACGGGTGGCAGTAAAAAGAGGCTGCAGTACAAGCGACAGAAGCTATGTGACAAGTGCAATGGCGAAGGCGGCCCACCGCAGGGCCGAGAAACCTGTGAGACATGCGAAGGTGTGGGTCATAGACCTGCCTTCACATTTATGGGTATGGCCAGTTTCGATGTGGTAAGTGAGAAATATCCTGCTTAGAAATGCATCAATTGATTGTCCACTGTTTGCTAGCCCTGCTCCTCGTGCGATGGTCGTGGCTTTACCATCAAGGAATCGATGCGCTGCAAGAAGTGCACTGGCTCCGGTTTTATGGAAGAGCAAATGCATCGCGATATCGTGGTTGAACGCGGCGTGCCTCATATGCTAAAGTTGCCCTTTGCCCATGAGGGACATCAGTTGCGTAACGGCGAGTACGGCGACCTTTTTGTGGTCATCGTACAGGTTGAGCATCCCTTCTTCAGGCGTCGCCATGCAAATCTGTATATGGGCGATATAGAGATTAATCTAACAGAGGCTTTGTGCGGCTATACGTATTGCTTCAAGCATTTGAATGGACGACAAGTGTGCATGACCACAAAGCCGGGCGAAGTGCTGCGGCACAATAATATCAAAATGATGAAAGGAATCGGCATGCCAGTGTTCAGCAAACCGGAGGATCATGGGGATCTCTTTGTACAATTTAAGGTGAAATTTCCACCCGATGGATTCGCCACGCCAGAGCAGTTGGCCACGCTGGAGACTGTGCTGCCGCCGCGTGTTAAAATTCCAGCTCCAGCAGGAGCGCAGCATGTAGAAATGACAGACTATACGCCACAACCTCGTCTCCCTGACACCGATGATGAAGATGAAGCGCATTTCAATGGGGTCCAATGCCAGACAACTTAGTGGTGGGCATGGGCGTATCCGTGGCTGTTACAGGCGCGCTATCTCGCCATCGATCTTTGGAATCTGCGGCCCACGCTTGGCGTGGACGAGCTGTGCTTTTTGGTGCCGCTAATCGTTTTACTATGCATAGTATTATTTTTCATACAGGAATGTCTGCTGTGATCAGCGCGTGACGCAATATTTTGGCTAATTTTGACTAGCCAGAGAGCCCCTAAACAAAATTTTAGACTTAGCTTAGCTAAAAGCATGGATAGTAGTTGTTATTATGCTGTTATTAGGATACCAAAACGAAAATTCTGTGTTAAACTATTTATTCAAGCCTAATTATTATGCAAAATAATACTCGAAAGCAAAAATTGTTACCCTGTAAATTTCAAAGAACATGTACTTTTGACTAGCTATACCTTATAGCCCTCTATAGAAGAAATAAATTAAAAAAAGACTTTAAAATTAAATTTAAATGTAAATGTAAAACTGTAGAGCCTTTATGATCTCATGCAATGCTTGAAGTTTCCCAATTATATATGATTATATGAAATATATATATTATATATATGAAAAAGTGCAATTAGTCCCATATGAAGAATAAATATAGCTTTAAAATTAAATTTGAAAAAAATCGAGCAAAATGTGTAACAGGTCGAATCTAGCAAGCTTTACTTGAAATGATCTCATGCAATACTCTTAGCGCTATAAAGTCCTTCAATAATACTCGATTACTTATGCTCTGTTTGTTGATCTTCTGTAAGACCTTCAAGGTTTATAATTAAGGCAATCTTTTATTCAAGTATGAAAAAGTGCAATAAATAGCTATACATATATGCCGTATGGAAAACAAGTAATTATTGTATAAATAATTGCAATGCCAGTTTGTATGAATAGTGAGAAACAATGATTAGTGTAATATTCTTGCTTGTGATGAGAGTTATCCCTTATGTGAATGTTTGTTGGATTTGCCGCTTGTCTTGCTGTGCTTTTGCTTCTGTGTCGAATGGCTGCGTTCCATGGAGCGTTCATTGGTCTGAGCTGGGGTCTGGTCCGCGTGAGACTTGCTGGATACACGCAAGTCGAGGGCCGCCAAGGAATCCGTGCTTGAGTCCTGAATCTCTAGATTATCCTCCTCGAGCTGGGGATGAGCTCCGAGCAGCTGTTGCTGCTGCTCCAGACTGATGGTCTGCATTTCGCCGCAGCGCATGGTCTTGGCATCGGCTGCCTGCTCGGCGCTGACCTTCATAAGGGTCAAATATTGATTGTACTTGGCGTAGTTGCGTCTGCCCGTCTCATCGTTCATCAGCACCTGCGCCTGGGTGTGCGACTTGTCGCGCATGGCCTTCAAACGAATGTGCTTGGTGATGTCCCAGCGCCAGTTGGAGCGGTACGAGCACAATGAGCACTCGAACGGCTTGCGATTCAGGTGGCCCACGATGTGGACGTGGAAGCGCGAGGCGGTCGCTGCCCAAAATGTGCAATGCGGACACTTGAAGACCTTCTTGAGGGCATCCGAGTCCTCCGGCTGCAGTTGCTCCGTGACCTGGCAAAGGGCAAATGTTACCATTGAATCGATTCTGAGCTGCTCTTCAGTGCTTACCTCGCCATAGCCGGGTGCCGTCTCGACACCACAATAACTCAGATCAGCGCTAGTACCACGAATGTCCTCGTCCCCGGTCAAATCTATGTCGCAGGCCAGCTGCGTGGTGTTTCGCAGCGCCGGCTCGCATTGCTGCAGATGGCTGATCAGCTCCATGGCGTTGGGCACGCGCTGCTGGCAGTGTGAGCAGCTGATGGGCGGCAGCTCGGACAGCGGCAAGCCAGAACTAGAGCCAACTGCTTCCATGACGGGTTTAGGGTCCATTGATTCCGAGTCCATTGGTTCTGCCTGATCAGTTGACGAGTCCAGTGCAGTTGCTCCTGCTGCCTTATGTTGCACTTGCTGCTGCTCCTGCGAGGCCAACCGTCGACCCACATGGTGGTTGAGCTCATGTATGGTCAGCGATTGCTTGATGTTGGTGCTGAAGTCGCAAACGGTGCACTTGAAGTAGCCATTGGCGCCATGGTTCTTGGTGTGCCTGTCCAGGTTCCACTTGTAGGGCGAATGAAAGTCACATGAGGCGCACTTGATCAGCGGCATCGAATGATACTTGACGTGCTTCTTGAAGCGTGCCCGGATCGGTGTGCTGTACGAGCACTTCTGGCACTGATACTGGGTGACCGAGGAGCCGCTGGCTGACAGATCGAGCGCCTCGGGTGTCACACACTCATCGGCCTGCGGAGACGCCTCCGAGTCCGAGCTGGTGGTCGCCGGCTCACGGTCTAGCTGCTCGACGCGTCGATCGCTCGGCTGGACGGACGATGCCGCCGGCATCAGCATGCACATCTGAAACTCAAAGGCCATGGAGAAGATGTTGGCGCTGCGAGAGACCATCTGCTGCAGATGCTGCAACTGCTGCTGGCGATTGAACGCCTCCACATTGCTCAACAGCTGCTGCTCCTGCAGCTGCAGCTCGCTCTTCAGCTGCTTGAGCGAGGGCCCAGCCAGCGCTGCTCCACTCTGGTCGGCATCAATTGGATTGGGCAGTGACAGTGCAAGGGGTAGTGGCAGTGGCAGTGGCAGTGGTAGCGGTACTACAGGTGCAGCAGCAATCGGCTGCATTGGGGCTGGCATCCCAGTTGGCGCCTCGATGCTCTCCTCCAGACGACGCTTACGCGCCTCCCGATTGCAGTGGCGTCTGCCGGCCAAGCCATTGCTGTCATCGTCCGAGCAGCCGTGCACCATCTTCATGTGACGCACCAGTTTCTGGAAGTGGCGCGAGGCATACAGGCAGAGCTTGCACTCGTTTATCACGATCTTCTCGCCGTGCACGTCGCGCAGGTGCGACAAATGGCTGCGCGGATTCTGCGTGAAGAAGGCGCACGCATTGCAGCTGTAGTTGCGCCTGATCTTGCACTGCGGCAGCTCCTCCTCGGCCCGCGACTCCAGCATGGCCACCGATGATTCCTTGCAGCCGTCCTCCTGCTCCGCCTTGGGCATGGCCGACGGCGCCATCAGCGGCTGCGGCTGAGCAGTTGCTGCCTGATTGTTGAGCAGCTGCAGCTGGCGCTCGAGCATCTCGGCGCTGACCAGGGGATGCGTGGCCAACGGATCGGCACTCTCTGCCGCTGCTGCCTCGCTCTCCTCCATTGCTGTCTGAAAGACTGTGGCACCACTCACCAGACTGCGCACCACCAAGCGGCCACCAGAACGCTCCACCATCGACGGCAATTCCATGTTTAAGTTCTTCAGTTTTTCACTTTTCAGATTGCACGATTTTTCTTCAAATTTTTTCTTCAAATTTTTTCTTTTGACTTTTAGTTTTTGGCTTTTTTTTTTTTTTTTTAGCGATGTTCACACGACGACAGAACAGATTGAACTAAACCACTTTTCAGACCGTCAAGCGATGGTCGACTTTTTCTATTACGCAAAGGCTACTGGGTCTCGAAATTCAAAGCGGTTCCTCGAGTCCCATGCGTGCTATCGGAAAGCCTGTCAAATTCATGGGCTTAACCAACATCAACTACAAATTTCATTTACGACTCTGTACTGGCATCAACTGAGTTCTGTAAATAAAACAGAAAAAACGGCAAAATTAAGAGACTGAAATTGTGGCTGAGCTAACCTAGGCGAGCGAAAAGCAAAGGGCTTAAACACACAAAAAAAAAAATTAAAGCATATTAGCCTCAAAGTGACAGCAAAAGACAGGACGCAATGTCAATGTGTGTGGAGGGCTATAAGAAATGTGGCTACATATGTATGTGAAATTGAATGAAAAGAGAAGAACTAAAGTGCAGTAGAGAAAGTTCCTAAATTAATAAAGCCAAAATTAATAAAGAGCCGAGCTAAAAGTACATAGATAGGAAATATAGCTGGAAATGCGGGTTTGAAAGACTTTCTAGACAGAAGAGACTAAGGGTAAGCGCTGACAAGTCGGTCAGCAACGGGTTATAGAGGCTCTAGAAGAATCACAATAGCCGCAAGGCGTAAATTAAACCACAATGTCTACGTATGGGATTGGACGAAAGACTTGGCAAAACATATACACTTCAAGCTAAAAGTAATACAATTGGCATTGAACAAATCGGAGAATATGATGTTTTTATAAAACACAAATATCCAAATAGAAAAACAATTATAAGAGTTAATACTTGAGTTGTAGAGGAGGTATATGTTTGCAAAATATATCCAAAAACCTAAAGTGCCATAGGAGGAAAGCTAAAAATTGTGAGTAGGTACTATAGAAATACATTCAAGTAGCTTAAAATTAATGTCCAGTACAATATATTGAATAGATACTAACGGTAGTACAGAAGGAGTTGCATAAGTAGAGCCGCGAGTTTTCGATACTCACCTCATGTTTAGTATTTAAAAAGCAATGCATATAACTAATACAGCCCCGGGTGACTATACACAATGTGAACTTAAAATCTAGGGTTGGCCTTGAGTCGCTATTGCTCGATGACTTCCACCAGGTGGAGTGGCAATAGATGCGTACTGACGTCGGGATCAATCTGTAGCTCATGCTGGCTGAAGTTGAACAGCGATGGCAGACGCACGCCGTTGGGCATGTGGGTGTTGAGGGGGTCCATTATGCGCAGCTCGTCATAGCTGGCGTGGGCACAGGCTCGCAGTGGGGCGATACGAGCGGCGGGATCATATTGCAGGCAAGCATCCAGCAGTGCCGCCAAATCCTGTGGCACCCAGGCGCCAATTAGCGTTTGCCACCTGGGTCGCGGGATGATCGTGGTGGCGGTGTCCAGGCCACTGGCTGCCAGGATTTGAGGCGCGCGCTCCAAGCCGTCGGTGCCCAGCACACTAATCATGTGCAGCAGCTGGGCCTCGCCGTGCTTGTTGCTGGCGAAGAGCCTGAAGCTCTTGAGCAGTTCGGCGAGCACACAGCCGGCGCTCCAGACGTCCACCGTGGTGCTATAACGCTGGAATCTCGCTAAGAGTTCGGGCGCCCGATAGGACCGCGTACAGACATACGTGGCGCTGCAAGAGTTGGCGTAGAGGAACTTGGCGCTGCCAAAGTCGGCCAACTTGAGACTCATTGTGAGCGGATCGATCAGCATATTCTCCGGCTTAATGTCCCGATGCATTACGCAGTGCGAGTGCAAATAGCCGAGGCCCCGGAACAGTTGATAGGAGATGATGCGCACATAGATCATCTGCAGGGGTCGCGGGCGATGCTTCTTTATGAGCTCGGCGAGCGTCATTGGCATGTACTCCATGGCCATCAACAGGCATTTTTGCTTGGAGGAGTTCATCTGGGCATAGCAGTACCAGATCAGACTCACTATACCTTAAGGTAAATCATTATTCTCGCCTCAATATGCATCTTGTTGGGATCAAAGTCGACTTGCTTTAGAGCCACCAGATGCTCCGAGTTGTCCAGATGCGCCTTGTAGACGCGCCCGAAGGTGCCGTTGCCAATCAGCTCCTTAACGGTAATCGTGGTGCGCACCAATTGCCTGCCTGTAAGGGCCATGACCGGAAAAACGCTTCCCTTTGATATTATTGAGTTGCATGACGGTATCACATTGGATTCCATTTGCTCCGTATCATAGAGGACTTTAGCTGGCAGTTTAAGGGATATTACAATAAGCGTCATAGCAATGGAAGTATCTTAATTTTATACTCACAGTTTTTTTTTTCAATATGTAGTTGATATTATGCTGACAGCTTATAAAATGCCAAGCTGCAATTTACTAAATTACCGCCTTTATTATGACTATGTTTAACCACTGACCAGACAGTGGTTTAACCTAACAAATAGGCGAAACCGTTATCCTCCTCTCGCTCTTCGTTCAATCAATGTCCGGCAATCGTTATTTTTATCGTAAAGTATTTGCAGTGTTATTTATTTATTTACTTTTTACTTTTCATGCAGTTTGTTCTTATATTTGAGTTAATATTTAAAAAACGAACCGCGTTGCTTTCAGCGCCACGCATGCTTAAAGGGCAGCGATGCCACATAACATTGGCGTTGCCACAAAGTTATGCATTTGCAAGCATTGGGCTGTAATTCACCACGCACTGTGCGTTTTCACCAAATGGTTAAGTGGTGGAAAGCGTATTTAAACATAAGCTTCCATTGCCGTTTGCACTCTATATGAAATTGAATTGAAAAAAAGAGCTTATCATTCAATTTAAATCAAGCGATAGAATCAATTCGTTTGTATATATCATGGAATTGCAGCTCATGCTAACGTTCCCTTGGTTTGGCAGCTGAAAAACATTTAGTTTGCATTAAGCTTAAGACTTTAATATGTAAAGACCTCAGTGAATCGCTAGTGTTTGTTTGTTTGTTTGTTTGCTTGTGTCTCTTGCTATTTCCATTTCCGGTTGTGCTGATGAAAAGAAAAAAGCAAACTTTCGCCACCAAAGTTTATGGGCCGTAGCAGCAACAGCAACAGCAGCAGCAGCCGAAGTAGGCAACACTTCAACGGGAAATGTCGCTTGCCATCCTGCTCTGCGGTTCAGAGTTGAAATTCATGTAATTCCATTAACACAGACAACTTCCGTTAGACGAGCAAATGACAGGCTCGCCTAATGGGCGACGCGTGTGCGATGCCATCGTTGACGATGTGGATGCGGCTGGGCATTGTGGCATTCACACATATACATGCACACAAGTATATATTTAATATATATATACATATCTATATTGTGCCGTTTACTGCACGGCTTTGCGTCAGTTTCAGCTCAGTTATCAGAGAGCCCTTTTATTAAGCATCCGCCGAGCCACCCACCACACTGGGCATTCAAATTAAATTCCCAAATTCAAATGGCAGCTTTTACGATGATATAAATCGCAGCCGGTGCAACAGGTCCCACAAACACAAACACAAACACAAGCACACGCACACCTACACACAAACAAAATGGCAAAAAGTTCATTGAGAGCAGAGCAAAACCCTCAAAACGGAAATGACTGTCAGAGCAAAGTGGCAAGTAGCATAGCTATGGACAGATATTCAGGATATCCGTATGGACTGAATATTTTTTGCGTCTGCCCTAACGCTACACCCACACACACACACACACACGCACGGACCATTCATTCTTCCGCTCTCAAATTCCTTTACACTTCTTTTTAAGGCTGCTCTGCATTACCAATTTGAAAGTGGGCAATTCTTAGGAGTTTATGGAGTTCGGGGTATGAGACTAGATAATATTAAATTTTAGCATACTTAAAATTAAGTTTATAATGCAGGTGATACAAATGAAAGTTCCAAGATAATCGGCAAAATATGATTCTATAGAGTATATCTTATGAGCGAAAAGTACCCGGAAATATCAAACTTCATCTACATTTGTTGAGTCTTCCTCAAAATATGCTATCTTTTAAAATATGAATACTACCAAATATTCTTAGGTTCTCAAATAGGGAGAGTGAGGCTTTAAGGCGTTGTAGCATCAAAATAAGTTCTCCAAGACCATATTGATTATATTAATTAAAATATCATAAATAATTAATTAACTAAAGCTATTTTTAAGCTCGAATTGTTTTGATTCAAGCTGAAAATTGACTTAATTATAGTTAATTAGCGAAACAAATGAAAAATTAAGGCGTGTTGGGCTCTAGCTGAAAAAAATGGGCTTGTTCTCTGAACTTTTAAATGAGATTCGATACGTAATGTGAAATCAATATGAAATCAATATTAAATAAACAAATTTTAATTTATGAGAATAAATTGAGGTTGTTTTCTTTGAAATGGAATTTTTTTCATACTTACTGAGAGTAAAAAATTGTTTATATAATAATATACTGTATTATAATATTTGGATTCTATTCACTTTCCCTTGTAGCTCACTAAGAGATCAAGCTGGAATCATACTTATCTATATGTAACACTGTTCTATGCATATTCGAGCGTTGCTCAAGCGCATTCTTTGGCGCTTCAAAGTGGAAATCGTGCCCGGTTCTCGGCCGGCTCGGAGGCACTTGACGTCTCAAAGTCAATGGCAATGGCGTAATTCGTGGGAAAATCTCTTGATTGCATTCTATTGCAAAAAAAAAGTCTACTATATACATATGTACCTATGTATGTACGTATGTATCTGTGGTTGTTTGACTTACCCACAAGGCATGCACGTATTTGTGAATATATATTATATATTTAATTAACAGCCAATGCATTGCACTGCTGACAAACAACTCCCGTGCTCCGCCCGCCCCCGCTTGCACTGACCGTCCCTTTCGGACGGCTCCGCCCTCGCCAAAGATTGAAAAATCTTTTAAGACAACGCCGCCATCGTCACACCTTAGTGATGCTGTATACGATTTTTTTTTCTCGCTGCTGGTGATGCACACTGCGGTTACTGCGATTGCGAGTGCGACTGCGACTGCGATCTTGACCTTGAACTTGGTATTAGATGTGTGAGCTCTCTTGAAACCGGTTGGTGGCTGGCGCGCTTGCTTGGTTACCTGGCTCTAACCGAGGCTTTTGTACTGTAAAATTAATGGGCAGCAGAAAAAAATGCGCCAAGACAACGGTGACAAGCACGAGGTAAACTCGAGCCCAACACCAACTGCGGCGTCAATTAAGAGCAGTCGGAATATAATGAACCTCCATTCCAGCACCTCGGCACTCAGTGTGCAAATTTCCATTTGAAATGTAAATTTAAATCACATTTCTATGTCGATAAAAACAGTGGGCAAACAAATGCCCCTTCCTCCCTCCCAAAAAAAGGAAAGAAAAACTGCCATGGAAAGCAACAGCAAGAGAAACACTTGTTCCATGGCTGAACATTTCTAATTGTTTGGCATTAAATGCGAGTCCAAACCCTTTTCAGCCATAACCGCAGCGCAAATAGAAGCTAACCAAAATATACACACACACACACACACACACACACACACACACACACACACACACACACAGAAAAGGACACTGTGTGTGTGAGAGAGAGAGAGAGCGAGTCCGGCAACATGTTGCGCCGCAGCCAAAGTTAATCTGACGTCCGTTAAGTATGCCATAAGAGCAGGCGGAAAACAGCCTTGTTTTTATTGTGGGCGCTTGTCTGTGGTGGGTCGTTGTAGTGGGTGGTTGGGTGGTTCGGTGGATTGCAAACAGCCTGCGCTGCTTAATTTTAAAAGCTTCGTAAAGAAATAAAACAAGCTAAAGTGTGTGAGCATTGGCAAGCCGAAGAGTGAATGCCCTTTGCTGAGGGATTTAAAAAAAAATCAATTAGAAATCATATATACATATATGATATGTAATAGTGTTTATATATAAATATAATAGATATAGTTAGTCAACTGGTTAGTGATGCACATATCACTATATGAATGGGGATAGTAAATGGTTGCAGGATATATCAAATTTACCTTAAAGTCACTTTAAAACTCAGCGACTCGCTCACCTCGCAAGCCACCAACAGACACTAGAGGCGTGAGGGCGTTGTGAGTGGGATGTGACAATTCAATAAAAATCAACCAATATATCAACTCAACACATAAGACACTCTACCCATTTCGATACCAAGAACCCTTAAAGACTATGTGCAGCATATGCCATGGCATAATCATAGCAGCCTACATAAAGGGTATGCACACCACATCAGCTGGCAGCTGCTCACATTATGGCCAAATAGATTATGCTTAAAGCTAATATGTTTGCTTGGCGACATTTTGGGGCGGAACATAGTAGGTGCGGTCATTACATTACAGCAACAATCCAACAAACTAAAACAAAATATGCTGAATATATTACATGCATATAAAGATAAATGTATCTATCTTCAAACACTGTTTGTAATTTATTAGTTGGCCATACTTCAATAATATTTGAGTGCATTATAATTCAAAAGTTTTTGTTTATTATTGAACATTTACAAGACATATAATTTTAGTGCAGTAAAATTTGTTGCTATTTTCATAATCATTATCTGATCGGGCACAGTTACACTGACTACTTGTCTTCTATATTATCTCTGTCTGCATCAATATATGCCACGCCCCCAATTTAAGCCGCTGCTCTCACGTCCAACAAATTTGACCGCCAAAAATGTAATGTACAAATCGATGCTGTTGCTGCTGGCGTCTCTTAAGTAAACGACATCAAACGAATTGCCATAAACAGTGTGAAATAAGTGAGATTGCAGCGGAGCATGGACAGTATGCGCGACTAGCATATACGCTGTAACGAACAAATAAATGAGTTAAATTCGGTTTTGATTGAATATGGAAGCAACAAAAATATAATTATTATAATTATATTACATTATATAAGATATATGGGAGATCAATTGACTATAGTACTTGAAAATTAAATTACATCAATTCAATT